CATCTCTAAAGCAGTTGACCAATCAAAACAGAGCGGTCCAGCTTGATTACTGGACTTAAACTTCCACTGTACATTTTACATTCATATTCTATTTAAAATTGAATAATCCATTCTTGCACAATAATATCCTGCATTATATTTGTTACTGGAAATGTGTATTTCCACATGTATATAATAATTTTATTTTATATTCTTTAACTTTTTGCATTTGTAATGCTATTTTATTTCTATTTCTGAAATATTTTGGACTGTTTATTTCTTGTGTCTTAATTTCTCTTATGTACATTGCCTTGTGTTTTTTATGCTGCTTTAATGCAAACATTTCCCAAATTGGGATCAATAAAGTACCATCTATCTATCTATCTATCTATCTATCTATATATCTATCGAAATTAGTATTATTTCTTTCTCTCTTGTAGATGTCAGGCTGCTGTATGGAGAGGAGAACAACAATAGGACACAGGGAAACGTCTCATGCTGCTACAACACACTCCTTGGTATATAAGTACATTTACACACATGTATGAACAACTANGGAGTAACTCAGTCATCGCGGATCACACACACACACACACACATGAGTGTTTAGATAGTTCACTTTAGTGTAAGTTATCTCAGAGGGTCTCAAACGGTTTGTTAACAATTTATGTAAACAAATATTTCCAAGGCACACCTTTATATTTATTATGATAAATAAAAACAGGTTTGAAATCATTCCAGTGCAGGGCCGTGGGAAGTAGGGGTGCTGAGGGTGCTGCAGCACCCCCTGATGGAGGACAGGGAATATGCACGTCCACAAGATTAAATGGAAATATATACAAAAAAACGAATTTTCAGCCCTGATGTAACAACATTCATAATTAAGTAAAGATAACACCCTTTTCACCCCAGTTACAGTTTCCATTTGCCCTGTACGATGAAAGTGGGGGATGTTGGCTTATCAGGCGCCCGCAGCTCACGCACAGAGAGAGAGCGAGAGAGATACCGGCGGGGATTGTTGTTAGCTTCTGCTGCGCTAACGGATAAAAGAAGTGGAGGGAGAGTCCTCTCCAGACAGACTGAGAGGCTCAGTGAGGTAAAGGACTGAGTGTTTAGATAGTTCACTTTAGTCTAAGTTATCTCAGAGGGTCTCAAACGTTTTTTTAACAATTTATGTAAACAAATATTTCCAAGGCACACCTTTATAATTATTGGGATAAATAAAAACAGGTTTTGAAATCATTCCAGTCGAAACAGCTTTGAAACCAGGCTTGCCGCGTTCCAAGAACAACAGCCAGTTTTACTGCGGCACTCACAGTGGAGCCTGATGATATCTGAGCAGCAGCCACAGAACCCAGATCAGAGGTATTAGCCGGGCGTCAGGGTGGTAGGATCCAGCAGGCAAGAACCGTAGGATGTTTGGAGTTGGCGGACTGTGACCAAACCTGGACCGTAATAACTAGCATGAAGGCTTCCTGTAACACTCTTTGGTCCTCTTCGTGTGCCAGAGGGAGCCCCACTGCTCTGCTAACACCAGCTAACCTTTTAGCCCTGGATCTATACTTTGATAAATATTTAGTGACAGTGGCTCTGTTTTATTTTTACCTCCCTGCTTGAATTTCTGTCATTTCACAGAGCCTGGGTGTGAGTCAGGGCTGGGGTTCTGTAAGCCTGCCTGGAGGGATGGTAGGCCCTACTGGCAATTAGCACTACACCCACTTTTGCCCTGAGTACAATCAAATTGGCCCATGAGAGACGAGTGGGCATAGTCATTTACTCAGTAGAGGTATGACTAAGTCTTTAGTGTAACAAATAGTGCTATATGTGGGCAATTTAATGCATGGCATGAGAAAACATTGAGTGTGCAATCCTTCAGAGGATCAAACTTTATAAAACTGCTACTTTAGTACTACTTAAATCAACAACATCCTACCTAAGATTCATACATGCTTCAAGGAGTGTTCAGTCTTATCGGTTTCTTTGGGGGCAGAAAGTCGAAAGGGAAGGGGGCTGCAGTTTATTTTTTCATTAAGGTAAGAAGCTGCCATCTGAAGGGATTCCCCAGTGAGAACAGACGGACCACCGAGGTGCACAGCTTTCAATGGGGCTCTCAACTCCACGGCTGCCGGAGTAACTCAGTCATCGCGGATCACACACACACACACACACACACACACACACACACACGCCATTTCAGTCTTCTCTGTGACTGAAACATTTTCTGTGCCCTTTTGAAGTGAGGCTACTTTTGAAGCGCAGGCTGGAATTTCCACAGATAATCTAATCCGCGTGAAAATAAACACATAAAAGGATGCTCTCTGCGTGTGAAGACAATGACCCCATGAGCCTTCACATTCTGCCTCTGAGGGCAACAGGCAGAGGTCTTCCAGCAGAGACAGGGCTGAGGGAAAGTTGTCATAGCTGCTCATCCCATCTGCACTGATTACTGTAATTATGTACAGGCAGCATGAGGGACAAATTAAAGGACATGGGTTTCTATTTTTTCAGGGATAAAGATTCACCAAAAACTATAATCCTAAATCAAACAAGACGCCACACAGGGATTGGTTAACCTTTTATGTAGTGATTTCAAATGTACACCAAGGAATTGAGAGGAGGTTCAAATTTCTTAATGATCCTGATGTCTGCCCCCCACAGAACACTGGTTAACTACACTATGGAAATTCAAATGACTGTGGTAACAAACTAAACTGCCCACCACTTATCAACACACACACACACACACACACACACACACACACACACCACTAACTGAAAATTGTGATAATTGCTTTGCTCCGGATATCCAGACGCCAGCTATACTGAAAGCTAGGCCACATTTTCACCAGGAATTGTTGTACGCAACAAATATGGCAACATGTGCAATAAATTAAAGGCAAAATTAGTAGAAAAGTAGTAAATCATGAGGTCTTTGTCACATACTGTAAGATACGACCAACTTCTGCAACACATCATCCCGTGAGTAATAGGATAATTATTTGCAGCACAAATACTTGACAGTGTGCTTAAGAAACACACTTTAAGTCCCTGTTTGTTTGAGAAAACGGATCTTAGAGATTTTAAAAAGAAAACCTTTTGATATCAAATCCTAGTAATATGAAGGAGATACACATCTTTTTACAAGCTGAAGTTTTATCTTAATACTTTGATCTAACAAAAGTGCTTTGACTCTGAGGAGCATGTACAGACATGACTACAAGCCCCATGGGCTTTCTGAGGTAGATGAGTGTCAAATTATTGTCTGCAACTGTGGAGGCCTTCTTTTCACACTGATCCTGGTTTAATAATATGCTATTAAACAGCACTGAAACTATAATTTGTTTTAAAATACTTCATATTATCCAAGATAATTGTGTGCTCCTGTTCTTTGTTCTTGTCTGATGTTCCAAGGTGTATGATCACTGTCTCAATGAGTCTTTAATAAATACCTTAAAGGTTGTCTTGTGAGTCAGTCTGAGATAACTAGGTAGGCAAGACAAGCACAAATATAGCACACCAAAAAAGCAGTGGTTTAATTTTATTCGGTCATGAGATACTTTAAAAGAACAGGGTGAGGGATAAATCTGTCCCCTCTCAGTCCATCCACTGTAACTTTCCAACAACAGAATGACAACATACATATTCACCAACAGGGGCCGTGTCGGTGTAAAAATATTTCCTTTGGGAACAATAGTTTAAGACCTTGCTCGCTGGTTGAAGCTCACAATGGTTGCTACATGTTATTATGAAAAGTGTGAAATAGCAAATCAGCAGATTATAATGGCTTCTTTTTTTTTAGCAGTGGAAATAAGTGTGCTAGTTAAAAAAACAGTTGCTTACTTTTAACAGCAGAAACGCGCAGATGACAAATGGTCCCATGTCTGCAGTCTCCAAATTCCCCCTCGACTCCAAGCGATTATAATGGTGCGTCTTTTTTCAGTCTGCAGCCCGTAATAGTCGCATAAAAAGGCTCATTGAAACGTCCACTTCTCAAAATGTAAATGTGACTGTAAAAAGGCCAGCTTTCAAAAGACGTGTAGGTTCTACAGTGGCTACAAGTTTGCGCATAGTCCAGTAACCAGAAGTTTTACGCACGAAAAAAACCGCTAACTGAGTAATCCGTCGATTTTTTCCTTTGCGTCTGTCGATGGATTCCCTGCTGATACTGTGTACGTTTACGCAAAGTTTCTTCTGTTTCAGCTAGCAGGACGCATTGACCGCCGCCTCTCCCGCAGCTTTGCAACAGATGAAGCAGGAAAAGCTCCTGCTAGCCCTCCTGGGCCTTTTCTCCTCCCCTCTCCTCAGCTTTCAATGTGGCTCTGGGATTGGCTGCATCCCTCCGACGCGCTGTCGGGAACAGCAATGTAATGGAAGAAGTGCCATCAAGACTGACATTGTTTCTCTATGTGAGTGATTATGGAGTAAAGTGACTGTTATACCATTACACTGGCTGAAGTCAAGAATATACATGAACATAATACTAAGCAGTGATAGTGTGAGGCCCAACGTTCACTATTCAAATAATGAGTGGATTGTGAAAAAAAGGTGAATTAACATACACAAAGTATTAGTCGTGGGATTTTACTAGGTATGTTTACTTAAGTACTGTGCACATGTTAAAATTAAGGTACTTGTGCTTTATTAGAGTATTTCTATTTGATGCCATTATTTGTATTTGTTATGGTGTACATTACACTTTATTTCATTGTTGTGCAGTAAGTACATTCCAAATAGGTAAAATACAACTAACACATTAATGCATTAGTTATAATAACTCAGTAATATATTATATAAATTACAAAGTGGCCATTTTTCAGCATTGTTTGCTTAGGCTTAATTTATCTTTATCTTTACCTACATATATATATATATATATATATATATATACCTTCCTCCATATATATATATTTAAGCAATAGCTCACGACAGGCCGTGGTATATGCTCATTATATCACAGCTAAGGGGCGTGGTTCGGCCCGACGCGAAG